CAGCTTAATCACCTTTTGGGAGATGGTTGGTGGTGTCATGTATAGGGATGTGAGATTTTATCGGTATACCGGTAAATCGCGATTTTTTGTTGCGTGATACGTATCGTGATACGCAGACCTAAATACCGGTCTTTAGGTACATATTATGAAGTCAAGAAATTATTCATTTATTTGTTCAATCTTGTATATTACAATTACAGAAAGCATAAAAAATGTTGTAAAAAGTGAAAAGAACAGCATCTTCCGAACATAATTGATTTTATATACATAAAAATTTCAAGAAAGTAAAATTTTGTTTTTTTATATATTTTTTTTAAGAAAAATAATGACTTTTCATATAAAATCATTGTAAAAACTGCTTCTAAAAATATCATGATATTATCGTGATATTGTGGGAAAAAATCGTGATATATCGCGATACGAAATTTTTAGCGATACCCATCCCTAGTCATGTACATGTGCAGTAAGGTTTCGGAATTAAGATTTTGCCCCAGGGGATCAAATGGGGGTCGAAAAATAACGTTTTTCATACAAAGAGCCCTGTTTTCCCTGAACTCCTCTTACATTTTACTCAGCAGCCTAATCATCTTTTGGGAGATGGTTGGTGGGGTCATGTAGATGTGCAGTAAGGTTTTGGAATTTAGATTTTGCCGATTTTGCCCTGGGGGGTCAAATGTGGGTTGAAAAATGACGTTTTTTGTGCAAAAAGCCCTGTCTTCCTTGAAGTCTTCCTTAATGTTACTCAGAAGCCTAATCATCTTTTAGGAGAGTTAAATATTTTGAAAATTATGTAAAACATCAACGTCAAGGGGTAACAAGATGTGTTTGTGAAACACTATGCGCCCGGCGTCAACAAAGTTCGAAAAAGCTATTTTTAGCATATAGTTCACAGTCAAGGTCACAAGGTCATTGACCTTGGTGTTATTTGTAAGAAGTTAATTAGTGGGGTATGCATACTAAATATGATGTCCCTATCTCCTATGGTTCAAAAGTTATGGCAAAAAGTAGAAAAAGCTATTTTTAGTATAAAGGTCACAGTTAACTTCACATGGTCATTGACCTTGGTGTTGTTTGAAAGAACTTTATTAGTGGAGTATGCATACTAAATATGAAGTCCTTATCTCTTATGGTTCAAAAGTTATGGCAAAAAGTGGAAAAAGCTATTTTTAGCATATAGGTCACAGTCAAGGTCACAAGGTCATTGACCTTGATGTCATTTGAAGGAACTTAATTAGTGCAGTATGCATACCAAATATGAAGTCCCTATCTTCTATGGTTCAAAGGTTATGGCAAAAAGTGGAAAAAGCTATTTTAAGTATAAAGGTCACAGTCAAGGTCACATGGTCATTGACCTTGGTGTTGTTTGAAAGAACCTTTTTAGTGGAGTATGCATACCAAATATGAAGTCCCTATCTCCTATGGATCAAAAGTTATAACAAACAGTTGAAAAACCTATTTTTAGCATGTAGGTCACAGTCAACGTCAAAAAGACATTGACCTTGATGTCATTTGAAAGAACTTTATTAGAGGAGTATGCATACCAAATATGAAGTCTCTATCTCTTACGGTTCAAAAGTTTTGGCCAAGGTTAAAGTTGACAACAGACAAACAGATAAACAGACAAACAGACAAACAGACAGGACAAAAACAAATATGAAGTCCCTATCTCCTATGGTTCAAAAGTTATAACAAACAGTTGAAAAACCTATTTTTAGCATATAGGTCACAGTCAAGGTCACAAGGTCATTGACCCTGATGTCATTTGAAAGAACTTTATTAGAGGAGTATGCATACTAATTATGAAGTCTCTATTTCTTATGGTTCAAAAGTTATGACAAACAGTTGAAAAACCTATTTTTAGCATATAGGTCACAGTCAACGTCAAAAAGTCATTGACCTTGATGTCATTTGAAAGAACTTTATTAGAGGAGTATGCATACCAAATATGAAGTCTCTATCTCTTACGGTTCAAAAGTTTTGGCCAAGGTTAAAGTTGACAACAGACAAACAGACAAACAGATAAACAGACAAACAGACAAACAGACAGGACAAAAACAATATGCGCCCCGAAAAAATTCGGGCACATAAAAAAACATCGCATGCTGGGAAACACCTTGAATTCTTATGAGTAATTTATGTACATGTCAAATGTGAGAGTCATATCTCATCTCAATCAAAAGTTATAAGCAAATGCAACATTTTTGAAAAGTAGGTTAGGCTTGATCGCTTCAAGGTCAAGGTCACAGTGTAAAAGTCATGATTTATTTGGAAAGGTCTTATCACAGGTAATAATATACATGCATTATGATATGAATGCCCTAACTTTTCTCTTTCAAAATGATGAATTTATAACAATTTAATTTTTTTGCAAGTTGGTCAAACTTCTAGGTCACATGTAAAAAAAAAAAAAAAAAAAAACCATGCCATTCTCACAGGTAAATATACTAATACATAAGTTTAATATGAATGTCTCTTCTCATTCAGTAGATATGACCGTAATAACCAAGGTTAAATTTATTGAGACAGATGGACTGAGTCTGACATACAAATGTACATATTTCTATATGAATTGGGTAAAATTGGCCCAGTGGTTCTAGAGAAGTTAAAAATGTAAAAAGTTTTCAGACAAACAGATGGACAACACGTCACGACAGACATTATATGCTAAGGAAACCAAAAAAGCTCAAATGAGTGTTTTGAAAGGGTTACAATATGGTTGGAGTATTTGAAAAGCTGTTTTTTTTTCTGCAGAGATATGCATGACCAACATATTCATGTTTTATATTTTCTTTAGTGATTTGTTTGTTTGTTGTGAATACATCTTCCCTCATATGGAGACACCACCAAATAATAATGAAGATAAGATGTGTTTGTGAAACACTGATGTCCCAGTATGGAAGCCTATGGCGAAGGTTGAAGTTTCTCAAATATATGTCAAAATCAAAGGTCAAGGTCAAAGGGTTCAAATTGTTAGTATCAGAAGAAAGTCTCTTGTCACAAGGAATGCACATGTGAAACAAAGAAATCCCTAGTAATTCCTGTTCAAAAGTTAATTGCCAAGGTTAATTTTTTGGTTTAAGTGGTTCAAACTCTAGGGTCAAGGTCAAACATATTTATACCTGTTGACAGTTCACAATGAATACAATATGTCATGATAAGTATGAAAGCCCTAGCACCTACTGATCAAAATTTAGGCAGAGTTTAAAGTTTGGTATTTTTCTTGTAAAAATGTGTATCCCATGTCAAGCGATCAGAGGTAAAAATTAATGGTACCCAAATAAAAGGTCTTATTAAATTGTCACAAGAAATAAACCTATAAAATGTGGAAGCTATTTGTATAGCCCATCCCACTTAAAACTTATGGGCAAGCTAGCTAGGATTTAATTTCTGCAGACTTATAGACAGACATACTATAAACACAAGAAACAAAATATGTATAATAATAAGCCAAATGGAAAAAAATATACTGTTTAACTGGAATAACAAAATACATTGTTATTTCAGGGACAGGAAGTGGGTAGGAAGATTGGAATCCCCCCCATCCCCCCCCCCCCATCTGGCATTTGCTTTGTTATTTAAACAAGACTATATACTGTAGCAAGTAAAAAATGACTCTTGACATCCTCTCCCTATAAACTTAGAGAACATTGACCTCACTATCATTGTTTTTTTATTTGTTTATTTGTTTTCATTTTTTTCTCCTGCTTGTCACGAAATTCTGGGCTGGAATTTTTTGACTGAGATGTGAACCCCCCTCCCTACTCCCGAAAAAAATTCTGGATCCGCACCAGTATTGGCAGTAACTGAATGTCACATCGACAACGGGAGATAACTTCACAATATGAAATTCGTCTAGTGTGGCATGCGATGATCTTTCACCCTTTTTAAACTTTAACCTAATAGTTTGGGTGTATTTTACCCCCCACTATACTAAAACTTCTACTTACCGACTCCCTGTGTCTCAACTTCATGAAATATAAATCCAATTATAACTCAAAATGAATTAATCCAATGCACACCAGACTGCAGCCATGTGCCATTTTGGCGAACCTTCGTCGATTCCATCACCTTATCAGATGAAGTGGGAAACGGCCGAGGTGTGCCAAATGGTGTTTAATCTATAAATATGATAATGGGTGACGCAACGTGATGTGATGTAGAAATTTACATGTTCACATGTATAGTACAAGAACAAATTTTAAATTAATTCATAACAAACGATATTAAATTTTAACAAATCTTTTCCATCCAGCCTATTCCAAAAAGTATGTGCTGTGTGATTGTGGTGTCGGGGGGGGGGGGGGGGTTAGTAAATTTAAAAAGGTCCTATTATTAGCAAAACATATATCAAAATCTAATTTCAGACGCGGATCCAGAAATTTTTTCCGGGGGGGGGGGGGGGTCCACCTCAGTCAAAAAAAATCCTATCCCAGAAATTGACAATCAAAAAAAAAAACAACCCTAAAGTAAATCTCACCCAAACGTCAAAAACCTATATCGTGGGGGGTGGGGTGGGAGTAGTGGTGACTTCTATTGCCGCAAATGTTTAACTTTTCATACTTATTTTACACATATTCGTGTTTACCAGGGGGGAGATCTGCATTTTCCAAGGGGGGTCCATTGTAACTTTTTCCTTGTTTTAGTATATACATTTTTTAACCTTGTAAATTCCAGAAAAACCTATATCGGGGGGGGGGGGGGGTCCTGCCCCCCCCCCCCCCCCCCCCCCCCCCCCCCCGAGAGATCCGTGCATGAATTTACATCATTAATAAAATTCAGACTGGTATATAATGAATTAAACATGTATAAAATAAATATAAGAGGTTCTGAGTTATAGGTCACAGGGTCTGAGAATTTCATACTCAATTTGATGAATACATGTAAATTATAGAATTATTTTGACTATTTCTTTGGAAAGCCGCCCAATATGTAGGAGCGTGTATTTAGAGGCAAACACCTTAGTGCGGGTATTACTGTCTCATGACAGCATCTAGTTGTAGTATGTAATAGTTAAGCCTGATCAGTCCTCCCTCCTTAGGGGGATGTTTATTCCGTACTGCGAGGATTGCGGGCCGGAGCAGGTTCTTCAGGCCGTGGGGATTATAGGAGCCATCATTATGCCTCACAACATCTACCTCCATTCTGCCCTCGTCAAGGTGTGGATCTCTTAAAATCTTAATAAACATGGCACAGAGTTTATGCTAATAACTTAGAAATTTCCTTGTCAGTAACTTATTAATTTTCAAGATTTAAGCACAGAATTTTAATGAAGCAGTTGCACATGTAGATACAGGGCCCATATATAATTGGAAAGCATTTTTAAGAAATTGATGCACATTTCCTTCTCAGTATTTCTCATCATACAGTATGTTACGTCAATATCTCATCTTTTTTTTTAAAGTCCCGAGATGTAGATCGGTCTCGAAGGGATCATGTCCGGGAAGCCAACAAGTACTTTTTCGTTGAGGCAGCCATTGCATTGTTCGTATCATTCCTCATCAATGTGTTCGTGACTGCAGTATTTGCAGAAGGATTCTATGGGAAAAATGTCACGGAAGTGGTAATGGTCAAATCTTTTTTCACACAACTGAGGGATTTTGTTGTATGATTTTCTGATTACTTTATAGAAATGTCAATTAATAAATGTTGTTTAATTTTGTTTTCAGTATGACAACTGTTTAAAAGTTGGTAGCCCTCATGCATCCATTTTCAATGTAAGTCTCAAGTAAAGTTTGTAGCTTCCTAACATTGTGAGTTATAAGTGTTTCATGTTCGTGATGTTGCTTATTCTGTTAAAATTAGAATGATTCAAGCAATGATTGAGATATGACAACTTTTCTGCTTTTCTTTCATTCAAACTTTCTTATACTAATGGCAGGAATTGTAGAATAGATTTGGGGATATAGGGGCCAACTCCGACCAAGTTTTAAAATTTTATTATTTTTTTTGTTGATTACATTTTATAATGTATTTTGATTGTTATATACATGTAATTATGTATTATATACACACTGAATTGTCAAAAAAAAATTTCCCCTGATCATGAACAGGAGCACACAGCGGGTGTGACGGGTCGGCAGGGGATGCTCACTCCTTCATGGCACCTGATTTTTTGGAGTTCTATGCTTGATTCACAAAATTTTGAAAAATTCAGTAACTTATTTTGAATTTTTTGTTTATAATTTAATTTCAGACCACTAAACTGGAAGTGGATATATTTCGAGGGGTGAGTATAGTTTGCTTGAATATGGGAATTCCCATCAATTTAAATTCACTTTGTTTTTTTTTTTTTCAAAAAGAGACATATAATAATGCACATGTCCCCCTCTGGCTGTAAAGAAGAATGAAATAAAAGAAAAATATTATCAATGTGAATCTTAATATTGTATGAAATCAAATTGAATGTTAATTTCTTGTTTTTCATAAGTTGAAATATGTGTATCTGTAGCTGCCATGTACTTGTCCAGTACTTTGCATCGACAGTCACAATGCAATTAATCTTTGCAGTAATATTTACTTGTACTTTAATTATCAGATTTTTAAATAATTACAATAATTTGAAAAAAAATCAATGTTTAAATGGATATGAGCATGTTACTAAAATTTACCATTATCAAACTTAAGAATGAATAGATTGATGAGTGATCATGGATTTTCAAAAATATTTCTGAAATACTGCCAAATTGAATGTGTTTTAAACTGTAAATTTTATAATCACATTGAAATTGAATTGCGAAACTCATACATTTATTCAGTTTCTGGGATTTGTCATATTGAGGAAGCTGTATTTAAAATCTTACCTGTAAAACTAAATTGGAGGAATTTCTATCAAAATGAAGAAAACTGACTTGAAAATATATAAATTTTAAATTACAGGGTGTGTTTTTGGGTTGTCAGTTTGGTTTGGCAGCTATGTATATTTGGGCAGTGGGAATTCTAGCTGCAGGTCAAAGTTCGACAATGACTGGAACGTACACAGGACAATTTGTGATGGAGGTATATTGCACAATAACCTCAATTTCAAAAGAAATTTATAATACACATATATGAGGGGAAAATAGTTGAATAAATAGGGCATTCTCTAAGTGTCAGTTGTCTTAATTGACTTACGTGGATGGTGCCCTTGATCGTGTGCATATGACCAGGGTTGCATTGTATGCATATGTTAAGATATTTAAATGTTTAATTAATAGCCATGAACATGTACATGTCAAATGGTTTTTGAATTCAGTTTATGCCCAAGAAACTGTTGCTTAAACCATTGAACCTAGATCATTTAAACATTGTCATAATTATGAGACTACCAGATAAGTCGTTTTTCTTTCTTTAACATTCGCTTGCTATAGGATCAAACCTCTTTTAAAAATCACAATTCCTGAGGTGAGCTGTACTATATCTAGCCCAGTGTTTACTTGATGATTTGAATGTTTTCCCAGGGTTTTCTGAATCTCAAATGGAAGCGCTGGATGCGGGTGTTATTTACTCGGAGCATTGCGATACTGCCTACCATATTTGTTGCTACATTCTCAGGGATTCAGGATTTAACTGTGATGAACGACATGTTGAATGTTTTAATGAGCCTTCAGCTACCTTTTGCCCTCATTCCGATTCTCACGTTCACAAGTTCGGAAAATATCATGGGAGAGTTCAAGAATGGAAGGTATACCTAGTCTATGTCTGTATATTTATATTTGTACTTCATAATAAGTTTTGATCAACTTTCAATGCACTAAATTTTGAAGGAGGGTTGGGGTCTTGATGACCATTTTAAAAATTTAAGTTTTTTAGCTCACCTGAGCTGAAGGCTCAAGTGAGCTTTTCTGATCACATTTTTTCCGGCGTCCGTCTGTCTGTCCGTCTGTCTGTCTGTCTGTCCGTAAACTTTTCACATTTTTGATTTCTTCTCAAGAACCGCTGCGCCAATTTCGACCAAACTTGCCACAAAGCATCCTTGGGTGAAGGGGATTCAAGTTTGTTCAAATAAAGGGCCATGCCCTTATTCAAGGGGAGATAATTGAGAATTAGTGAAAATTTGGTGGTATGTTTTAAAAATCTTCTTCTTAAGAACCACTATGCCAGGAAAGTTGAAACTTATGGGGAAACATCCTCAGGTAGTGTAGATTCAAGTTTGTTCAAATCATGTCCCCCGGGGGTAGGGCGGGGCCACAATGGCTGACCACAGTTTTATATAGAAATATATAGGAAAATTCTTTAAAAATCTTCTTCACAAGAACAGCAGAGCCATAACTGCT